GGGGGGGGGGGGGGTGTGCCTGAAATATATGCCCGCAGAGGTGAGATGAAGGACAGCCGTTTGTGTTCAGGCACTCCTGCTCTCTCCTCACTTTTCTTTTCGGCATTTTGGCGAAACGAGTTTACGCGACGACGAGCGGACAAGGATTCCCATGCCAAAATGCCATCCGTTTTCACGCCCTGTCGTTCATCATTTAAGTTTCGACCTTTTGTACGGCCTTGCTTCGTTTGATCGTCATGACGTGGTATCCTTTACGGGAGCACGCGAGGACGGGGAGGGTGGACAAGACCGATCACAGGTGTAGTATAGGACACTTGAAAAGCCCTGCGTAACAAGCTCTTTCCTCTTTCCGAAGGAAAAACACAAGACCAAGGAGAAGAGGAAAACAGTGGTATACCCCAGACACCCACAATTACACCTCCAGGAACAACACCACACGAGCCATGCGCCAACCTAGTGCCTATACACAACACAAAAACGCGCAGACCATAAAGGTACCACTGCTGTTCTCGTGGGTCGTTTGGACCCGCCCCCCAAGCGCCAAAAACACCACGGCAAGCCCCCTGCCCCCGGCTGCACACCCGACGACGAAGCAGGTGTGTAACACAATGTAAGGGCCTCGAATATCGAAATGGGGACAAGATCCAGCCGAATGCGCGGGCTCGCTACTACAGTAGTACCAGAACCATTAGACGGTTCCCCACAAGCATGGGGCAGCGCCTCTCCGTATCGAGCTTGATCACGTCCACGGCTGTGTTGTGTCCGAACGGCAACAGAAAAAACGAAGCCAAATCGGCACCACGCCAAGTACTACGAGTGAACGAACGAACGGATGGTGTGTGCGTCTCCGCAAAAAAAAAACACGTCCCAGGCGCGGCCTCCCGCCCTTCTTCCCACTAAGCTGCCTTAGAATGTATGTACTGGTAGCCACGGGGTACCCAGAACGATCCATGGGCCACACGACAAAAAAAGAACCTAGCACAAACCATGGAGAGAATTACGTCCGTCCGCTTTCTAGGTTTGTCTGCCTGTCGGCCCTCAACGCCTTGAAGGCGATGGTGCCGCAAGCAAACGCGGTTCACCCGAACAACCCTCCTCGCTATGCTCTTGTTTTCGGCCGAAAGCCAAAGTTCTTGTGCCGAAAAAAAGCCAAAATCTCCTACCCTCTCTTCCTAAAATGGACCAAAAAGCTCGCCCGCGAAATTCAATGTGGCGTTTGTCAAGCTAGCATCAACCAAGGTAAGCGTTAGCGTTCATGAGTGGCACTCCTTTCTCGGCGACCAATTACAGGTCAGCCAAAGACTGGAAGGCAGTTTCTATCTCGTCGCACGTAGCGTTGTACTCCGCGTCCATCTGCGCTCGCGGCATCTTGGGCTCCATGAACTTGCCATCCACCACCTTGTTTTCATCGCGAGAGGCAGCGGTGGTTGGGGGGGGCAGGCAGAACGACAGTGCACAGGGCGGGCGAGGGAGGTAGGAGAGGAGAGGGTGGAGTGCATGACGTAGAGCGCATGAGCCTCGCAAGACAACAAGCAAGAAAAGGTGTCTTGTATACATGTGTGAAAAACGAGCGCGTCAAAGCCCTCCACACGCATCAAAGTGGTGCATCGTTTGTTCAAATCACGAGGTATCACACCAAAATGACATGTTGCTTCTGCTGCTGATGTTGCTGCACAAGCCAACGGCGAACGTTTCCATGAAATGTGGTCCAGAAGGCAAGCGTAACAACAGCAACAAAAACAACAACAAACAACAACAACGACAACAGAGGCAACTCCCGACACCCAATACTTGTCTCGCAAACATCGTGCAAGCATGTTGCTTCCTCAGCAACATCCAGCACCGGAAAGGATGCACCTTCTGCAAGAGGGGCGCCATGGTGGTCTTGATGTGCGCCCACGTGATCTTCGCCTCGACCGGCGAGTCGGCGATGGCCTTCTGGGTGCAGTTGTAGAACGTGATGATCGTCTGCGCTCGTTTGCCGGGGTCGGGGGTAGCGGGGACGGACGGTTGAGGGATAGTGCGAAGGGGGGGGCATGGCAACATCCTGGATACTAGAGAAGAGGCGTGTTGTAGGGTACAGCGGAAGCGTCATTTTCAAGAGTGTCGCGTTTTGGGTATACCTCCATCCCAATATTTGGAAAAGGCGGTGACAGCAACCAACGTACACTGGACCAACAGCCCAGGAGCAGCACATAAGACAGTGCTGGAGTCGGTACCTGCAACAGGCACATACAGCCCGTCGCCGGCTACACGAACTAAAGGCTAGGAACGCAGAGGCAAAACAATCCCCCCATAATGTCCAAGGACAAAGAGGTCTACACGCAGTGTGGAGATCCGATGCTCCTCTGTACATGTACGTGAGTACTGAAGTACAAGCCCGTGCAAAGAAGTGCTAACAAGACCATCAACTCCGTGTGTGCCTCCACCTATGACTCCGATTGTGTTATAGATTGAATTAGCCCTACACCGCAAACGTAGGGAACATGAAGGGGCCGGGGGTCTCCGTGGAAGGCCTGGTCTTTGAGCACGAACGTGAACAGCGCAAAAACAACAACAACAACAACAACAACAACAACAACAACAACAACAACAACAGCAACAACAACCTCCACCAATCGAGCATCATGTACGCAAAGTAAAACTCGTGCACGAACCTTGAGCATACCGAGCGACTTGTACAGCGGGCAGGTGTAGTCGTAGTCCGTGAAGGCGTTCTGCTGGAGGAAGTCCTCACGGATCAAACGAGCGATCTCGAGGACCACCTGCCACAACAAATCATTTGGAGGAAGACACGTGTTACAGCACCAGAACCTTCGGTAACTAGACAACTTATTCCTCATCTCTGGTTGCGAGGGGAAAAATTAAACGCCAGAACAAAAAACAATTGCGGGGGTCCCGTTGCTGTGTTGTCTTGTGTTGGGGCGGGTACCTTTTGGTCCTCGGAAAGGGAGTCACGTCCGACGAGCTGGACGATTTCCGAGAGGCTGTCCTCCTGCTGCAAGATGTCGCGGCACCGCGTGCGGAGCTCGCTGTAGTTGTCGTCGTAGCTGTTGAAGAAGGGCTCGAGCACGCGCATGTACCTGTTTTTCGCGGCAACACACGAAAGTGCCAATATGCGTTTTCCGCGAAACGGTCACGGCGTGTGAGGGGCGACGTCAGGGGGTGCGTGAGACAGAGAGCCGTAGGTCGGAAGCTTTTCCTTCGTTTTTCTTCGTTCTTCTTTGTTGTTTGACCCCGAAAGATCAGCTGTCCGTCGAGAGGAGAGTACTCAAGCCCATGCCAAGATAATAAACGCCACGTTGTCAACGAGGAAACGGCATTCTTGATCAGCCAACCGTTGAACGGGTACCCAATCAGGGCGCCCAATGGGCCAGGTAATGAGTTGTCGAACGCTCCACATTTGCCGGCGGACATTATCGGAAACACACACTCGTCATGTTCCGCCGCATCAGTGGAATCATCCACACCGCACCCACGCATTTTCACGGCCCATCCCCGGTGACCCCGCTGCGCACGCCTGCGAGACCGACTTTCAAGGCCCCATCCATTGTTCCAGCACCGACGGGGTGCCAATCGGGAACCGACCGGTATGCAATACGTCATCGCGAACAACGGTTACTTGCTGAGAGGGGCGTTGCACAAACAACAAGAGTTACCCGCTAGCGATAAAAGAAAAGACACGCATGTGTGCAAAAGGCAAAGGCTTGAGGCTTACTTGGTGTAGGAGATGAGCCAGTTCAGCGAGGGGAAGTGCTTCCTCTGAGCGAGCTTCTTGTCCAAACCCCAGAAAACCTGACAAAAAAAACAAGCACCCACGGGTGGGTATATACGTTAGAGGACAGTAGAAGAACAGCACGAGCTGCTGTCTTGGTCGAGGGCAAAAATCGGCAGGACGTGTGCATGCGCCCCCACTAACAGATGGCCCGGGGTATTCATGATGCTCACGAGAGTCATTCAAAGAGAGTCATTCAAAGAGAGTCATTCAAAGGCCATGAGGTCAAACCGCGTAACTGCTGTGTAGGAAGAATCTCAACGCTGGTATTTGGAAATCTGTTGTATGCGGATAATCAATGTGTGTACAAATTTCGACACACGCCACTCTACGAGGAGCTAAATGGAAACCCGGGGGGGGGG